ATGATAAGAGATAACATCTGAAGCCCGAATGCAACACACGTGTGTGCGACGAAACAAAAGCATGGGGCGGAATGCGCTTATAATCTCGTGTGTGATCAAACGCTCGCTTTGCTTTGCTTTGGGCTTTCATCATCATTTTTTCTCTTTTTTCTTTCTTTTCTATAATCGACGTCAGTCAACTGAGAAATAATTGTGATACAATAATTTTACTGACTCGCGTCGATCTGTTTGTCAGCCGAACGTTGCTTACTACAAATAATCACGATATCGGTTGCACAATTCCGTATGTGAGGGGTTCACATCCATCACGTTATTCAGTCTGCACGTTTGTAAACCCTCATTTATCCAAGCTCCGAATCACCCGATTACGTACTGTCCCTTTGGTATTGACCGATGCGCCCACAGGGACTCGCATTATCTATGCAGCGTAATTTAGTTCGAATTGGGTACGGTCACCGACACCTCAAGAAGTGTGGGGCGTAGGGAATTCTTGGACCTATACGCCTCGACTTACGCCCTACTTTTCTTAAGTTGTCACCGGCTATACTGTGGTGAAGCGCTCGCTTTCCAATTCTGTCATTGCCAGCCACGATCCAATGTCGTCCTCCTGCTAATTGATCCAAGTTTACCGAACAAAAATGTATCCACCTACTTTGCTGATAAAAAAAAAAAAGAGAAGACAAAAGCAAATTACTTGAATGATATGTTACCGAAACAAACAAATAATATATAACTCTGTTCGAGGAGAGCCAGGCGTGAAGAAAAATGACAAGAAGGCAGGCAACGCTGTCTCTCGCCGTAACTACCTTTATGAAAGCACGACCCGAGGCGCCAGCCGCCCGCGGCTTCAAGACACGGCGGCGTTGAACGGGCTCCAGCGCCGCGTTAGCGAAGTTGGGGCGGTTGCCACGACAACGGAACCTCGAGAGGCCTGGCAACCCGATCAAGATGGATGGCCACGTCAGGGTTGCCAGAGCCCGGTTTTTCTCTCTCTTCGCTATCTCTGCGGAACCCCTGGCCCATGGTTGCTCGCTGCTTCTGCTGTTGTTGCTGCTGCTCTTGTGGGGCCTGCCTCACGCTTACTGGTGTTTGCTTGGTTTGCGAGCGTTTCCATTATCGCGTTCCGTTCTTCTGCTGGCCTGGTCTCGCTGTAGGTTTCTGTTTTGGTTTCGTGCAAGTTCCGCTTTTGTTTCTTCTCGCGTCGGTCTGTCGTCGTCGTTGCCGCCGCGTGCGAGAGAATTTCGGTCCAAGATGGTCCCTCCTCGAGTTAACGGTATTCCGTATCTTGTACGGAGGCGGCAGAACTCCACGGCGAAATCTGCGGTTCAGTCAGGTCCTCCGTATTTCCGTACACGTTTGGCATTCGGGGTGAAATCCGGCGTGGCAGTTTCTTCTTCGTCTGCGAATGGGGTGACCTATTTTCAGCTTTACCGCGTTTAGCCGAGCGCAAATGTATCCGGATTACACAGACCGAATATCAAGCTATTCGATCACGTGACTGAAAACACACGTACTGCTTACGCTTCATAATTCTTAAGGTTTTGCCGTGTGTTCAAAAAAATAATAATAACGCAACGGAAAACAAGGGGTGACTGCGCATTGATGAGTGTCGCGCATTGCACATCTGTGTGAACATCGTACAGGTGGAGTCTTGTTGCTGCAGAACTCATACCATGCAGGTATACGCGCCGTTTGCGTGCCGAAACGACAATACTTCATTCGCAAACTTACGATAATCCAAACGCGCGTTCAAGTTTTGGGGTCCACCGAACCAGGCTCGAACCCGAAGTACCTACAACAAGCTTTGCACGAAACTGGAAATTCATAAGTGCACCTCACACCCGTCACGGAAACTATACGAGCCCGACTCCTGACAACCTCGTTGTACGGGCTTCTTCAAGAATAAAGCCACTTATGCACCAACTCCGTGTGTGAGTCCACACTCACACAAAGGGAGTCGACTTGGACTCACCAACACGTGCTCTCGTCCCGAATTATTCGACCTTCTGAAGTAGGCGCCATTTAAGAATTTGTTCTTTCTCCCGTCGTCTTGGACAATACATCAGCACCGAGTACGCTTGGTTGTCTTTGTATCAGAGGCATTTCAAACTTCAAACTCTCGCTCTTTCTTTCTCTCTCTCTCTCCCCCTCGAAGATTAGCTTAGGAACCACTCCCGTTCTCGGCAATGGCATTGGTGCGGTAAAGCAATAAACTTGTGCATCGGCGTAGTGCCTCAGATCTAAAAAAAAAGAGAAGCTTTTACTGAAAAAAAAAAAAAAAAACGATTTACATGGGGACAGCGACAGCCGAGGATATTTGTACACTGCCATTGTACAAAAGACAGTCTGCGGGTACTCTCCGAGGCATGTCTTTTCTTCCATAACGGCCATGTCGCACTGTAGGTCGTACAAAATCTGTCTTTAGTCATGTTCGAAGCGCGCATTTATGCACGAAGCAAATTTCCTTGGAACATGCCTAACGCGTGCCCGCAGATAGGACCCACAGCTTAAGAATCCGTGATGATGTTGAGGGACGAGATCGAGTGCGGAGAGGTTACTTCGACGGTTGTCTTCCGCGTGACGTGAAATTGCGTTCCTTCGCATGCGCGCAACAATGTTTAAAGAAAAAAACACAAAAAAAAAATAAAAGAAAGGGCCGCGTGTTTAAGCGCAGAAATAAGACAAAAACTAGAACGGGCGAAACCGATGTCGAGTTTTGAGTTTACGAGTCTTGCGGCCCTTTTAGAGCGTCGTTCAGCACGCCGTTGTCTCGTGCTCCGCGTTTTTGTTTTTTAGTTTATTGTTTTATTTATTTGTTTACGAGTGATTGTTTGTTCGTCGTCGTCCGAACGAATTGGAGATCCCTCCAAAGGCGCACACCCCTTTCTCTACATACTCCGGCTGACCGTATCTACGCAGCGCAACGGAGGCTACGATACCCATTCCAGCCAATCCAAAGCCGCCTCAGTATCACGTGACGTCCAGGAGTGGGAAGAACCATACTTCACTTTATGGATTCAACCACAGTAAATACGTCGCGATTCTGCTTCCTTTTCCTGCGTTCGATTGGGATTTATATTGTGTCGTAGTGGTCGGCGCAGGTCGTACTTATCTAGCGCGAATCGGAGTATATGGTGACGGACTGCTCAGCGTCATCACGTGGTATACGTGTACCGCCCTGGATTGGTTGTTGAATGACTCGTAGCGGCCGTTGTTGGTTCGTCGTCAGGTGAATTCGGAGACTGCTGCCGATCCGTTCGATCTCGTTCGGTATTCATGGGCCGTATGCGGCGACGGCTGGGCGCCCCACGCGGATTCCGGCGTATGCACGCGCCCATGGGTACACATACGTGGTACTGCGAGCGTACAAAGAAAAAAAAAAAAATGGGGGACGATTATTTCCCGAGATTAGTCGGCGCGACGTCGGGTTTATTACCGGCCTTCCGTTTGTTGTTGCGAATTTACGACCGTGTTGTTTTCTGTGTTTATTTTTTTTTCTTTATGATTATCCTTACCATCAGTGAGAGGAAGTGACGGAGGTCATGAATGTTTTTGAGTCTACGTTGTTTTCGTGACGTTGTTCTTTTTTTCTTTTTATATAACCTTTCGTCGCGAGGTTTCTAACTATCATACTTGCTGTATAAAAGCACGCATGAATTGACATAAATAACTGATTCTAGGAATGCGTAAATGATTTAATTTGACTTTGCGTGCGCTGTACGTAGTGGCTCTTTGTGTGTGTGTGTGTGTGTGTGTGTGTGTGTAATGTCACGTAACGCCTCGTGAAATAAGAGCGGACTTTTCATTCTTTCCTTAAACTGACGAAGGTTATATAGTGTAAACTAAATAATTATATGACATATAACTGACGCAGTGGTATGCACCAGGGCCGAATTGCTAGAAACAGTGTCCTAGCTGAGACTGTGTGAAAAAAAAAAACAAAGCTAACTCACGAGCGGGGGGCAGTCTTGTGCACGCGTTACTCGAAAAAAAAAATCGATTACACTTAAAATTATACCCTCCGTAAAAAAAGTATTCACTTAGATTACTTGATTACTCGAGGAGAAAGGTAATTGGTCGTTAATTGCCCGATTACTTAAGATTTCCTCAAAACGACAGATTTTTTCTGCCGATTTAGAAAGACGGGTTTTTCGTACTGCTCCTTATTGTATTGAAATCGCTGAATTATAAACTACGTATATTTCTAATTCGTTGATTTTAATAAAACCGGGCTCCTCTCGGAAGTCTGGTTCGAGGATTTCTTGGTAGGGAACTTGTAGAAACAGAGTGCGTCTGGAAAAGGGCAGGCAAAAATAGTAACAGTTACAAGTAATTTCAGTACTTCCAAGAGTAATCGAATCACTCTCGCGATTACTACCTAACAAACGTATTCAAACGATTACTAAATTACTTCGAAAAGTAATTGATTTCAAGTAGTTTGATTTCTTGCAACGAGTATCACAAACAAGTCTGGTGGAGTGACACTCGAAGTGGAGTCTCGAGTGCTCGCGCGGCCCATGCTTGACACGACTACTTTCACGCAGTCTTAGCTAAGCCGCTGCGTAAAGCGGGCCCTCCCAGAACGATCAGTAACCATAAAGATGGTGTTTTTGATGTTACTAATAGTTGGAGCGTAAACTATTTTTTTTTCTTGCGCATCTTTGTCGTTGCTGTTGTTTGCGTGTACTTAGCTGTTGTTATTTTCTTCTTCTTTTATTTTTTTTTTGCGTGTACTTCGTTTTGGGGGGAGACTGTGGATCTCGGGACTTTGTTAGGCATATTTCACTCCTGATCTTAACTCCTGGGGACCTGGGAAGTCAAATGCAAGATCGCTTGTGACCGGAATAATATGTCTCCAGTTTGACCCGCGCGGCGATAGTTATGAGGCATAAAAACTAAAGTTGTTTGACTCTGTCGTAAGAACTGTGCATTAGTACAGAGTTCATGAGATATGCCTCGCCGAACGACCAACTCAACCTGTCTCTTCTTTTTCTGTGCAGGCAAGTCGGTGGACTCCTTCAGCCTAGGGCTTTCTCCGCACGGTAAGCATACGTTCCTGCGTATCGGGCTTTATCGAAGCAAACGCGACCGGGGCGCTGGCACGAACCATGTGTCAGCACACACCAGTCCGTTATCGGTTTATCTTTTCTGTACGTTGACCGGTAGAAAATTTAGACGCCCTGGTTTAGAGACAGAATCGTATACATACACTAATCAGACGCGGTCTTCTTTTATTTTTTTTTGTCGGCAATCAGCGTGATAAATTGCCGTCCGTTTCTCAAACACGCGTCCACATATGAAGCATCGACGCCTCTCTATACTGTATACAGATAAGAGATATAACTTTACCTTCAGGAGCACGGAGTTTCAGTATAGTATATTAAATACATAGTAATTGCTATTTCATCAGTAATCAGAAATTTGACAAGCCGTTCACTCAGTTTCGAACTTCACATTTTGCAAAGATAAGGTACGAATTGTCCCCGAGGAAAAAATCATTTCTGACATATTTCAGATAAGCTTAAAGTCTTATGCGTTCTTACGAATTAAAGACACTTCACAAAACTCGTGGCGTATTTTTTTTTCTTCTTTTCTTGCAATGATGGAGAATAAAATCAAGGAAATGCGTAACGAAATGGGAGCGTGACGTCGCGGCATCCGGCCCTGAATCATATTTTATTCGCTCCTGTAATTTTGCAGAAATGCCACCGTCATTATTCGGTGACACGTCCTCTGCAGAAATTCGCCACAATATGTTTTTCCCCCCTATTTTAACTACTCCAGAGGCTCAGACTGACTAAGCGACTATTCATAGTCCCATCATCGTCTTTTTTTTATTCCCTGAGTTTTATAGTGAGAACACACCGTCCGTCCGCGAGTGAAATAAGGAGTGGAGTTGTGGAACGATGGGAATGTGAACCGCATAAAACCCTGGCTAATAATGTGCGAGTGCATGGCGCTTTTTTTTTAATGCTAACATAAGCGAATACCCGCACCGTCTATTATTAACTTTAACAGCATCTCCTTTCATGCTCGCGTTTCGAATTTCCAAATAACTTCCAAAGTGTAAGCTTTTGTTTTGTTACACTTACCCCGTCCTATTGGCCCCGAGAGCGAACACAAGCGTCGCTGCGGTCGCCGCGCCCTGATTGGGTGAGGTGTACCGTGACGCCAGGGGGAGGACTCCGCTCCGCGATTTCGCATCGGCTCGCTTCCCAGCACCGGTTTCCTGGTTTGGCGTTGTGTGCCGCAAGCTCTTCGAAGAGCTGGACTTCGTTTACCCGGTGTACAATACTCTGGGTTAGTCCGATATTGACGTGCTTCCTTACATTTTATAAGCCTGCTTGTCCCTTTTACCTTTAAAATTGGGTTACAAATCCCGAGAGCTATCGGCGGAGGCAATTCCGCCGATGAATTTGCCCGTCCGTACGAGACAAGGCAATCTTGCGAGGGGTCGGTGAAGCGGTGGCGCAAGTATTTGAGACGCTGGAATTCTGTTCCTTGCATGTTCATGATTTAGCACGATATTACATCCCGCTTTCAAGGCACTTGAAGTGGCATTTATATCATGGGCCTTTGGGTGGTCGGCAAATTATCTCGCGACCCCGACTTTGCGCTGCCACTCTCGCTGGTTCGCAGATGTCTTAAAGGCCCTGCGTCTGATGATCTTTGAAGTGCTCGTGGAACAGGGTTGTTTTACATAAATGTAGCTTCGTCCTGAATTAATTATATCGTTTATACACGTATGCAGGCATATTTCTTAGAAGATGCACAATTACTGGAAATTAGTTTTTACGGTAGCAGCAAAAACGACCGAATTGTCCCCAGTTGCCTGTATGATATGTATTGAACTGTCCAAAATATACACAGCAATATTGCCGTAATTTGGAATGTTTATACATTTTCCTGACATTCTTTATTCCAGCCTTGGGTATTCGTAAAATACACCGTTTAGTCTGAATCGTCATTTCCAATCAAAAGAGACACTGCTGCAGGTCCCCAAAAGCTTTCTCAGCCTCCAAACTCCCTACAGCTGGACTCCCTGACAACAGAGGAAAACAGGAGTAAAAGCAAGCATTCTAACGTCTGTCCAGTGGTAGACGCAGCACCAGTAGCAGAAAATGTGGAACCTGTGAAGGGCGACAGTCTGCGTGAGAAAAGCTTCTGGTATTTTACTTGAGGGTATTACTTGAGCCTCGAGGGTTGATATAAACAAGTCCACAGATACCACTCGTGTAGTTCATCGAAATACTATCCCAATCCAGCAAAGGTCAAGTGCGGGCAATGTATATAATAAATGTTCCTTTTTTTTTTTTTTTACTTTGCCCCTGCACTTGGGCTCTTACTTGTGATTCTCTCCCCATGGTCCAGACTGTATTTAACATGTTGCTCGAGCAGCATGCAGCTTTTCTGCTTCAGCGATCTTGTTTAAAAACAGAGATACAAAAAAATAGTATGCATAACCTTCCAATTCATTCAGACCATCAGCAGCATTTATTGTGCGAGATTTAAATCTATAGTGACGCTCCTGCAATTGTGGCCATATTTCTTTATTTTCATATACCAGCTGTGATTCATGCGTTGCCTGCCCTGTCAACCATGCTTAAAATGTTGGTTGAAGTTTCGCCTGTAGCTAGAGGCCATACCTCAATAAAGGCACATATAAAAATTTACACTTCCTACGAAAAACACGCCAAAAAAAATTAAATAGAAACGAGCGCGCTGGAAGCTAACTTCGTCCCAGCCTCCACAGGGCGAGCGGGGCGAGTCGGGCAAAAATTCTCTCCTCGCCGTGACGTCACCCCGGTTCGCCGTAAGGGGGCGCCATGCGAACTTCTCGGGGCTAATAGCGGCATCCAAGGCGACGAAAACCTATCGTGAGCTTGGATGTAACTTGAAAATTACGTATCCATATTTGAGTGTAGTGAATTTTAGGATGATTCCTCCGCTTGAGGGAATCTATATCTTCGCTTTCTTTTATGGCACAGCAGCTGAGCCACATCCGATAGTTAAGCCGCAGACTCTCCGGTTTGAAACGCAGCACTGCCAATGCGCTCTCAATACACCCCAAAAATAAAGAGTTTTTTTTTTTTTTTTACATATATATATTCGAGCAGTTAGATAGGTGGTATTAATAGTATGTTTTCTTTCGATAATCCTTCACTTGTGAGTTACCACGTCCTTGTTTACTTCATCGTCCCTGTTTCTTCGGCCTTTCCGTCCAACGACGTACCAACACATCTTTCAATCGTAATCCCAAAATTTCTGGCAACATCTGAACCCGAAAAAAGAAAACATTGAACAAATCACTCTGGCCAGAAAGGTAGTAACAGATACCAGCGTCCTTGCAGATAACTTTAACCTGCATTTTCAGTGAGTATTCACGCCCGAGACTCCACACGGTAATCTGGAAAGCATGACTGAAAGAAAGGCAGGTCAGAATGTCGATGATATAGAAAAAGGGCCAGAGATAGACCGAGTTTGTGATACCGTACCCCCGATTCCCCAACTGATAGCAACACAAGAAGGAATTCTGCCAAAATGGTTAGACCTTGACACAAAGAAAGCATGTCGTGTGGTACGCTGACTGGATATCGGTTTATTTGCATTGTTTATTTATAAGTTCTTGCCAGTCATCGCAGCTCCCCTCTGATTGGCGGTGTGCACGCGTTGTCCCAATCTTCAAAACGGGCGATAGACTGGCCATAGACAATTGCAGGCCAATTTCTTTTAACAGCTGTGGCATGTAAAGTCATGGAGCATATAATAGCAAAGCACATGTTTCACCACATTGAATCGAACAAGTTGCTTTATTCGGATCAACACGGGTTCCGTTGTGGACTTTCAACAATAGCACAACTAGTTGAAGTAACCCATGACGTAGTATCTACATTTAAGGATAGAAAACAGGTTGATGTTATTTTTATAGACTTTTATGAAGCCTTTGATTGCGTACCTCAAAGGAAACTATTAAAGCTTAAAACATTCGGAATTCAATCAGCGATTACCGACTGGATGTAGTCATATATCTTACTAGTAGAAGCCAATGTGTAGAAATAAAGGGCCACGTCTCAAACCTGTTCCCAGTTTACTCGGGTGTGGCCCAGGGCTCTTCTGTCTTGGGGCCATTGCTGTTCTTAATATATATAAATAACATAATACATGAAACACCATCAGACATTCATATAAGGCTCTGCGCCGGTGACTGTATTATTTACTCAGCTGTTAACTCAACCGATCGACAAACTTCACTAAATAAATATCTTAAACACATTAAAGAATGATGCGACAAATGGGATATGAAAAAACGCTAAACAAAGTCTTTGTATTGCCATATCACTAAGAAACGAAGCATACTGCCATTTAAATGCTACATTCTAGACATAGAATTGAGCAATCGAAAGCAGTTTAAGTACCTTGGTGACATGTTTTCAAAAGACCTAACCTGGACCAAGCCTATCGACACCGCCTGCACATCGGCATATAAAAAAGCTTTGTTTTTTTGAGACACAAATTAAAACATTTAACGAAAGAAACCAAAACGGTTGCTTACAAGACATACATTAGGCCCATATTGGAGTATGGTAGTGTCGTCTGGGACCCTTATACAAAAAGAGACATCGATAGGCTAGAAAGGGTCCAGCGATAAGCTGCACGTTTTATTCACTCTAGCTACAGACAGACAGCATCCCCAACGGAAATGCTCAGAGCTAGTAATATAGAATCTCTGCACCTAAGGCGCTAAGTCGCACGTCTGAAATTCTTTTATTTAATAATCAAAGACAAACTAATTTAAGCCCGAATAAATACGTTCTTCCCTAACGCTCGAAACGGTCAAGTAGACTGAATCATACAAAAACATGCCAGACGTATAGAAGTCGAATCAATACCTTTAAACAGTCTTTCTCTGTAGAAATTATTGAGGCTTGGAATCCATGCATTGCCCAACGATGTTGTAAGTTTGGGAACCGTGCCCTCCTTTGAAGATTTCATTGCAAAGCTGTTAGCATAATAAGAGCCTAGAGAGATGCCCTTGAAGTGT